TCCAAAAAAACATACAAGCGACTGCAATGCATCAAACGATTCTGTCGTGCAAACGACAAGGAGGCTGTCGTGAAACGATACATTTTCGTCACGATCTAGTGGAAACAGCTAGTCCCAACAGTCGTTCAACGATAAAAAATCGTCCACGACAGATAGTCGTGATATGGGAACAGGCTAGACACGACAGTCGTCCAACGATAATAAAACGTGACGACATAGTGGGAACGCGCCCTTACCCTTCAAAACCTGAACGAAATAATGGTGACATTGCTCACAGCGACAGATATAGGTAAGGTGGTAGTATTTAACCGGACGAACTCTTTCACGTGGAGCTCTACTGCTACTTACTATAGTATATTTAGTTATAGAGTTCTTAGGTTTCACATTGAAAAAATGAGATTATTTTAACGAATCTGAGTCGCGCGTTTTTTCAAAGAAACCCATATTTCGGTCTCTCTACATGTAACGCCTGACTAGACCGAAACAAACTTTTTTATTTTTTATTATTAATCATTTTTTGATCCAGAAAAATTGTTTCATTTCCAATACTTAATTATGATTAATACACGACACATTGTTCATGCGGTCAGACTTTGGTACAAACTTCCCAATAATGGCACCGTAATAGGTTGTCTATCGAGCTTTAAATACCTAGGGTACACTTACATTTCTACCATATTCCCAAAACTCGACAAAAGATGTGAAGATTAGATCTAACTATGGAAATTTACAACGCAATTTGCTGAATTCCAACCACAAATAATAATTTTCGAAAAAAAGTGAGAATTTAATTGATTGTGCTGTGAGTGCATGTCAAAAACGTAAAGACACGTTGTACTGAATACGGAATATGCAAGTTTTTACAAGTAACAGTCGCATTGATAGGTGAAGTCAAGCCAACATTTTAGTTCTTCACTATCGAAAGGAGATAAATTTTCGTTGACCCCTGCTTACGAATTGTGAACCCCCATTTTTTTGTCACGCCAACGTAGACCCCGTTGAGTCTCCCGTGGACCCCTGGGGGTACACCTGGACCAATTTGGGAACTAAAGATCTAGACCGACAGAGGCGAACTATAGCCATGAAGAGTAACGTGTTGGCGCGTCGATTCGCTCTTTGCTCTGTTCAAGTAAACATAACTTTATTTATTAGGGCTTATTATCAGGCGTTCTACACTAGTCAGTTGTGGTACCATTATACTAAGCGACCTTTTGATTTGTCATTTTCACTTGTCTCGAGTCAAGAAACCTCGAGACTCGTGAACAATGACTAACTTTCCGCACTTATATAAAAAATAACTGTTATCTAAGTATTTATTATTATCTATTTATTTATTTCCATATTTATTTATTTATCTATGGCTCGTAATTTATAATAATTTAATGTTGTTTATATTGTTTTCTTATTTCATAATTTTTGTTTTGTTAAGTAAACCCGTTATTGTAATTATTGTATCTGGTATTTAGACCTGCAAGACGAAATTTCTATTAGAAATAATTATCTTTTGTTTGCGTTTCGCTTTTTACTAAATGTGATTTGTATTTTCTAGTGCGATAATGTTGAAAAAAATATTGCACTATTTGATAATCAGCATAAATTAAAATATCCGCATCCGCACCAATATCCGCATCCACACCAACATCCGCATTCATCGAAGCTTATATTCATTGCGGGTGTTCAAGTCGTGACATGACCTAGAAGGCACTCTGCAATAATTTACAAACTTTCCAGAAACAGAATGTTAGCCGAAAAAGCAGCGGAGTCATTTTTTTTTCATATTTCGAGCATATTTTTAAGACACTTTCTATTCAAAAACGATTACTAAATTACATAGAATTAATTTCTAAGGCAAATCGATAATAACCGTGTTATGAATGGACCCTTCGCCACTGGGAGTACTCTACAAATCTATGGTAAATAGAAAATGTCATGGTCTAGCTACCGTAGCCACAACACGGTGCCAAAATACCTATATAGCAATTATTAAGCGACTATGCGCCCACATATAGCGGATGTAGTGCGGTAATGGGAATTGTTGGCATTGTAAATTGTGTCGTGCTGCGATTGTTTCCCTGGGCGATATTTTTTTTGTGATTAAAAACATTTCAGACGTAAAATTGTATTGTTTTTAAATAAAAGTAAAGTGAAACGTCTAAATTATTTTTTTAGGTTACTAACATTGACTTACAATTATATGGACGTCGGGTCCGCGCTAAAAAGTGTCCGCACTTGTAAGGCGCTAAAATCGTATACAGAGCGCCAAACTCCGCTTTAGTCTTCATTTGTTCTACTGACAGCGCGATACTGCGATGACATTACAATTTAAATTTCGAATAGGTTGACTTGGGACATTTTTTTCGTGGTTTTTGTATTAGACCCGTGCGTCGTCCATTTATTTGTAAGTCAATGGTTACTAATTATGGTGTGTAGGTACTTACTAGGGTTTTCAGTCTTGCTGCATTTTCGCGTCCTATGGATAAAAATCAAAACTACGTGCGGTCTCGAAAATCTCGAAAATCTCGAAAAAAAACAAGACTTTCATGTCTATTTTAAAAATAGTTCCCTTCCCACTTATGGTCTAGGCCTATACAGTCAACACAATATGATTTTGTAATCAAGTTATGTTTTAATTCAAATTACTGTAATATTATTATAAATTAAACTAAATATATTTTTAACATATTTATGTAATAATAATAATAACGCAACATACTCATAGCCCCGCACTAGGGAAAACCCTGTGTCGCGGGTGCCATCAAGGATGGAAAAAAAGGAAACACCCAAACTCACGAGAGAAATAAATGTACGCCATACACCATTTCTCCCGGCCTGTGAATCGAACACAGGACCTCTGCATGGCAGTCCAGCACGGTAACCGTTCGGCCACGGAGGCAGTTAAATATTACAAATCACATATGTACGTTACTCAGATCCCAAAGTAAGTAAATAAAGCACTTATATTATCGAAATTGGCAATGATGACGGTATCACAAACACCCAGACCCGAGACATTATGGAAAAGTTAGTTTTTCTACTTTGATCCGGCCGGGAATCGAACCCGTGACCTCAGAGATAGCGGCACCTTGAAAACCGGTGTGCAAGCCACTCGATCACGGATGTCTATCAATTAATGTAGTATTATGTAAATTATAATTAATAAAGTGCTTGATTAAAACTTTGTACTCGTATCATGAAAATAACCCCTTCTGACGCGATCGGGTAAAAAAGAATAGAATGAAGTGTGGAGAAAAAATATTTAGAACATTAGATATTTTAGCTAAACGTGCTTGTAGCAGTAGAGCTCCTTGTGAAAGATTTCGTCCAGGGAAGTACTGCCGCCCTACCTATTTCTACCGCAAATCAGTAATGTCAGCAATACTGTATACCGGTTTTGAAGGGAAAGGGTGGTGATGAAATTACAGGGATATGAGACTTGCCAACTTATGTTTCAGGGTGACGGGCCCAGTGGCAGTGCCCGTCAGATCTTTGTGTTTTAAAGCTCTGAGTGACACTGCAACTGTTATGAACAGGCGTGTCGCTTATCATCAGGCGCACGACTTGTTTGACCCGTCACTTGGTACCGTAGAAAAAAAATGAAAAAACACTCCAATTCCATGTCTCCATATTCTATTACACCTACACCGTAACCTAACATTTTCAAATTCTTTCTCTCTATATAGATGTATTATTGACTCCGTAGTTCTTCGCCCCCTCAAAGCGCCATTACACGACAACTTTTACAAGAACCGTACTGGCCGAGAGCAACAAATAAAATAGGAATAGAGATGGTGTACGAACGTATTGAGTCAATGAGGTGGTACACAGATCTATATCTTCAAGACAATCATGTACGTAAGAACGTACATGTCTCAAAGATACAGAGATTTTTAGTTTATATTTTTGCATTTTCATCGCGAAAACGAATTCAGTAATGTAAGTAAACAAAAATACAGTAATGGATACACATTCAACCAAATCATCAGAGATTCAGCAGACTACTATTAACATGGCTGGAAAAACAGTAACGGTCTCTATTAGCAATTGTCCTAAGATTTTAATTAATTTTTTTTTTTCGTCTTTCTATTATAGGTACATATTGTTCTCTTTAGTCTTTTTTATTTTTTATTCATTTATTTATTTTATTTGCTCACATTGTTTAAAAAAATAAGCCTCGGCGGTAACTTGCTTGACTCGTATTAACGTAACACATTCTCGTTCAGCAATCCCTTACTTCCCGGTCACTGCAATAATGTACTATTTCCCCATGATTTCCTCAGATTAGTAATGATCAGTAAAAAAAATTAAACTCCACATAATTGCAGCAAAATGGAAGCAAGTAATAGTTTGGAATTTTTTTCGAGTAAGTTACATTGTTAAAATTTTAAAATCTTGCCTATTAAAAAAATAAAGGAAAAAAAAAAACTATTTATCGACAGCATGCCCCATCCAAATTTTTTAAAAAGGACACAACGAAATAAATGTCGTGTTAAAACATTGACTTACAATTATAGTTAAAATATTTTTTTTGTATGTCGGGGCTTATCGCGGTAAACGTTTTAGCCACTTACAGAGTGATTACTTATTTATCTCATTCTGACATAGCGAACTCTTCATCAGAGCGAAGAGTGTTGTTAAATAATAATTGTCTAAAAGAAGTATCTTGTTGTATCTTGATGTTTTACGTTTTAATAAGTTTCTCCGTTTTAAAGACAAATGTCAAAAACCTTGTAAGTGGCTGAAACCCTAACCGCGAAAATCCAAGAAAAAACATCTGAATTCAGATCCATGGACACCTAATTACTCTCAGTCTTGGCTGTGTGGCACAATAGAGCCTTTGTCTTTTCCACATGGAAAAAAAAGGAAAAAAAGACAGACAAAGACTTGACATTCGCCACTGGTTTTTCTTCAAATAATAATTCTCTTTGAACTGGACATTGACGTCGTTCGCCATAATTTTTATATTATTTTTACAAAAATATCATCATTTTTAATACTGACATTAATAAACTCGTCGTGAATTTCTATGGAGCCATTGTAAAGAAATTGGATTGGATTGGACATCGGCGACGTTCGCCATAATTTTTATATGTTATTTTTACAATCTTAATGCTGGCGAAATCCTAAAAAGAGCACCGCCTATAAGCAAAAAGAAGTTTTGAATCATTTACATGTTTTACATTTTTCTATAGTAAATGTTTTTATTTTATTTTGTTTGATATAATATTTTTGTCCTCGATTTAAGGACAGCCGTACCTTTGATAAATCCTACTCTACATCTACACATTAATCTACATATAAACGGAAATAATCCAGTACCTTGAAAGCGAAGTGCACTGTAAATTGGCTAGATGTCTAAAACAGAGAATTAACAATGATTAAAATTCGATTTATCTTATTTACTCTTCTCAAAATTTTTCATAAAAAAATGTTATCACACAAGCTAACAACACTGTCCCTTTTGTTACTATTGTTTTTTCTTACTCAATATTTGCCGTTAAAAATGAAAGTTAACAAGAATAATATCCCGAAAAACAAAAGATTGTTAATGAAGAAATTCCACGAAATTAATATACAATCAAGGATACAAACAGAAAAGGGTACAGGATGTGAAATGCCGAAGACCAATCCTTTCGCTAAAGAAATCATGAAGTTCATTCCGCCTACACCGAAAATTACATGTGCAATGAAAGACTGGGTAACTTGTATAGGCTCTCAATGCTATGTCGTCAATGATATATTAGAAAATATGCCAAATGTAGAATGCCACTATAGCGACATTATGTACGTGAACGATGATGAGTACTTCGTCGAAGTACCTGTAATACTAAAAGGCAAAGAACGGTATACCTTGAGATATTCAGATCACGTAAAAATATATTGCACTATGGACAACCGTTTCCCATTCTCCATATGGTCTCCGAAATGGTACGGCATCAAAACGGGTTTCCGAGAAATCGGAATCAATGTTCCACCTGGTCGAGAGGATTCGCCAAATATATTAGTAGTTGCCTTCGATTCTGTTTCACATAACCAATTTCTTCGCCGGATGCCGCTTGCTTACAATTTTCTCACTAAAAAACTCAACGCCACAGTACTCAATAGTTATAATATAGTTGGAGATGGTACCAACGCTGCTTTGTTTCCCATACTGACAGGCAAAACTGAACTTGAATTGCCAGACACACGGAAAGGAACCAGTAACAATGTTAAAGTAAACCCCAGTGATTTCCTATTCTTCAAATTAAGGGAAGATGGTTATCACACAGCCTACTTCGAAGATTTGCCAAAAATTGGTACCTTTCAACTACGTTATAATGGTTTCAAGTATCAACCAGCAGACCATTATTTAAGAGCTTTTTTTATAGAAGCTTATAAAATGGCACCAGATTGCATATATTGTATAGGCGCTACGCCTAAATATGATCTAATGCTGAATCTTACGCATCAGTTTGCCATGGCAGAAGGTAAACGATTTGGGTTCACTTTCATTTCGGACATTACTCACGATGGCGATTACCTTAAAACAGCAGAGGATGAAATGGTACACCTTCTGAAATCCTTTGACGATGGTGGGCTTTTAGAAAATACTATGCTCATCGTAATGGCTGACCACGGAAGTAGGTACGAACGTTTGCGTATGACATATCAGGGTAAAATTGAAGAACGACTGCCATTTATGGCCATAGTTTTGCCAGAGAGATTCAAAAGAAATAGACCCAGCGCTGAGAAGTCTTTGAGGGCTAACACGAACGTTTTAACGACACCGTTCGATATACATACGACCATTTTAGACATTGTCGGCCTTCAGCACTTTCGCAATGACTACAAGGTGCATGGTTCTGATCTGCCGCGAAGCATGAGTTTATTGGAACCAATACCAGCTTCTCGTTCCTGTGCTGAAGCGGATGTGATGGCTCATTGGTGCGCTTGCTTAAATTGGGAGAACGTATCGCGTAGTGATCCTGCTTACAATAGAGCAGCCTATGCATTGGCTACCTTTATCAACGGTCTTATAGCCGGGAACACTAAATGTATTCAAAGAATGCTCACTTCTATAGAATGGGTTATGCACCAAAGTCTACCTCGTCCAGCTCTTGAATACGCAAATAACGGAGCAACGGTTAAATCTGCAGTTGAAACTTATCAGGTTAAGATAGTAATGAGTCCAGGAAGTGCTGTATTTGAAGCTACAATGACATTTGTGAGACGTCTGCACCGATTTTTAATAACAGAAGACGATATATCTCGCGTAAGCGCTTACGGCGATGAACCAAGTTGCATCATGGACACTCATCCGCATTTATTGAAATTTTGTTACTGTAAATATTTCCACATTTAGTGTTCTGACTTTTGTACCTATAGTATTCTTTTGTTATGATAGATAACCTTTAATAAATTATTAATCAGATAATAGACACAGTAACATAGGCATTTATTATGCGTACATATGATTACCAACAAATAATGCAATTCCTGTGGTATACAGCATAATTTTGGAAAAAATTATAAAAAGAACAGGTGCTTTGGTCTCCCAGCTGATAGCATACTTAACTGTTTAAACCCTTATAGGGTTTTTTTTTTAATTGGTATGTGGAGAAATCCGAAATCCGAATCTTAGGGACAAAATATCTTTTATCTACACGCATATCTAAACTCTCTATAATGTGTTCAATAACCGCAAATCACGACCAGCATAAAAGGTAAACTGTTTTGTTAGAACAAACTTATCTGTGAAAATGGTATTATTTCTTCATAACAACATCTATAACATCGAATTCGATGTTATAGATGATATTACATTCAAATTTCGAACATCTCTGAAAAATGGAATACAAGAAAGAGATTACTCTCAGTCTTGACTGTATGGTGCATTAGTGCCTTTGCCTTCTCCAATGGAAAAACAGTTCAAAAAAAATATTTTGACCCCAATCCTAATATCCAAGTAATATCCTAAATCTATGGTCGAGATGAAGTTTTGTTCGAAATGAAATGTCAAACAATTTTGACAATTTCACACGTTATTTGATATATTAAAGGATGGACTGTGACATTGGCAAAATCATCAGTTCTCATATTGATGGAGCCATAAAAATAAAAAGTGAAGTGAAGGATGGAAATAAAATTATCCTTCTAAAGGACATGTTACGTTGACATATACAAATCAGACGTTATATGTATATGATGCATTTCGACGTCGAAAACATAAACATATTATTGTCTTTGTTTAACTATTACGTGCCGTCTTAAGCCAAAAGAGATAGCATTACATTGGTCTGTGTCAAACACGGGAATCGAAAATTCGTAACGTCATTTTAAATGCCAACCGTGGCCATTTCAAGTACATGAGGTACATGATACCGTTGTCAAAGGGAAGTACATCAAATGTCAAAACAAATGTTTTTCCAAATGTATTATTGAATTATTCACATGTATTATAATTAAATTGGACAAAAATATTGACAGTGAGAATAATTAGGTATTAATAAAAATGCGACGCTGCAGCATTAAAGGATGCGGCTTTAGAAAAACTGCAAATCAATCGAATGTTACATTGCACAGGCATGTGTTATTTTTTTGTCTATAAATCACACAATAGCCCGAATATTTTATGTAATTAGACTTATTTAAGTAGTTTATTTATAAATCTTGCCAAATTTTGCTTTTGTTACTTTAGATTGCCTGTTTGTTTGTATATTTTGATGATTGTTGTTAACGATTATTTTGAGATAGTGTTGATCTTGTAAGCATACATATTATCGATATTCTGTTATTAAAACAATTCACTATGAGGTTTTTATTGTTTTATTATTATTATTTCAAGTTTTCCTACAAATGAAAAAAGGAAGATAGAATGGTTGGATATCATAGGACTGCCGAATATAAACGTTGGATCAAAGACCATCTTCATTTGTTCGCTTCATTTTGAAGAGTCAAATTTTAACAGAACTTTAAATGTAACTAGATTGAGCTATGTTTTTTGAGTGTATGTTTGTTAATTTCTTTTTCACGCTGTACAGCCTAAATGGCATGATGGATTTTGAGATATGAGGTGTCGTTTGATTCGTCTTGATTGGTGGGGCTGTCATAGGTTTATCTCTTTTCAGTTATTTTTTTGCAGTCGGGTTTTTATTTTTTTAAATAATTTGGTTTTTGTAAATCTATATACATATTTAAAGGAGTACGGTCCAGAGCAATTCACTGGTAGATGGACGCATAGCAAAAACTGTAAGTACTGGAACATGATAACTTGAGGGTATGTTAATTTTATTTAGTGAAGGAGTACTAAGAACGGATTTTTCAAACTCATCCCCTAAGAGGGCGAAAACGGTTAAAAACGTTTGCATGAAAAATAATATTCCTTGAAATTACAAAGACGAAACTTTGCATAAATATTTTACAATAAAAATGGTAAAAAAATGGCATGACAGTTTATAAAAAATGCGGCGAAATGGGGTAATAAAGTTTGTATGGTAACTTTTTAACACGTGGTGCGATTTGGTTCATACTTGAATATTTTTCATTTGTATAAAAATTGTACGCGGACGAAGTCGTGGGGAAAAGCTAGTACATGATAATTGTTGATTTCCGATAATTGATTTTTACAACTACTTCCATTATTTCTGTGTTAAAATTGCTTGATAGATTCATTTGCTTAAGAAAGCCCGGGAATTAACGGGAATACTAGAATCCGCAGAAACCTGAATAGACTTGTACTTGACGGTTAGTTAAAAGACGTTATGTAAATATGTACTAAAATGTAGGTTAAAGGCGTACCTCTTAAAGTAATTTTTATATTTTATTTAGTAAGTACAATTAATACTACGTAATGCTAAATACAAGTAAAGTAGGTATAATTAAGCAAGAATGCGCATGTCGCCAACAAACTGCACAGCAGTTTGGTGACTTTTACTAAATAAGTTACCAGTTGCAATGTTGAAAATAAATTTTTTTTGAAGTTTAAAAATGTGTGTTGACATTTATAATAATATACCACTCGAGATTAAATTATCAGACTTGTGTTTGTTTAGGCATACTTTGGTTACAGTAAACTAAAGAAACAAAAATTCAAGCCATACATTTGCATGTCGATAATGACTTATCGATAGATTATGGTGCAACACTAAAGATATCCGCCATTTGTAACTTTCAAATTTTGGTAATATGCACGTTGATTCTGTACTTAGGGCAGCTCCTTTCTTTTATTTTTTTCCATCCTCTAAGAATATATCGGACGATATGATAGATGGGGCCGATTTGAGTTTGTCAATGAATTAAACATAAAAACTACGGTTATGTGACTTGCGTGTGAAAAGTTTTTATTTGCCGCCATTTCGCCAGTCGTAACATGCGGTTCCTGAACATATCACTGAGAGCTTATAATATGTGTGTAGATAAAGCAGTGTATGTAACTGTACATAATTAAGCATTAAAACACTCGCCTGCCGACTAGTTTCCTAAACCCTCACTCGTATTTTAATGCCTTTCATTATGTAACAGTCACATAAACTACTATTTTGTGTAAACAATTTAAGCACAGTTAATTTTTTGGTCAAACATGAATTGTCCAGTGACCTCAGTTTTCTGTAAAAATCATTTCATTGTATCGGAAGAAAAATTTAACGAAAGATTTTCTCATACAATAGGAGAATGCTATATTATACTAAATCATAGTCGAAGCACTTACTCGTGTACAAATAGTTAAAAAAGTGTTCCACAATTGAATTTCACGTCCATATCTATCTAAATGTACTACATAAAACATTCACAAAAAAGACGTAATGGTTCCTAAGGTTTTCTTCTATGGCCTATGTTTTTGGATTCCCGCTGCTGTCCTAGTTATGAAAAACACACAGTATATTAGGGTTCATAAGTCTTTAGTGGGTTTCTATATCCACCAGTGAGATCAACGATCGTCACCAGGCTCTCCAGCATTATTTATTATTTTACATAACCTTCACAATTGCAGCAACCGAAATAATTTATTTAAATTATATGTCAACCTATGGATTAACCCTAGTGATTGTTGAATATTTTAATGCTTGCATCTGTTATGTACAATCAACAACACATCAAGCTACACACTTTTGTTCGAATTTTGATACTGAGAGAATAATAAGCGCCTGCAGTTAAATTAATACGAACATGGTTTCAGCAGATGCAACATTGCCATAATATTTTATTAGGCGTTAGACATGACAAAACTAAATTTGTTTTTAAACCAAATGCAACACTCCACACATCCATTTTATATCACTATTTAAATAACGTATAATGTTAAACATTTTAAACCTTTTGATCATTCCAAAAACTTTTGATTTTTAATACATTTTTATGATCGACAGGTTACAATAATTTACACATTTCTAATCAAATACAAATACAAATATATCAACGGGTAGTAGATATATAAATATGATAAGTATATCTTAGTTGACAAAAATACCATAATTATAAAATCTAGGCGGCGTGAGGGCGTTAGTACCTACCAAGTAGCGTCCAGAACGTTTTAAAGCTCTGAGTGACATTGCAATTGTTGTGGACAGGCGTCTCGCTTATCATCAGGCGCACAACTTGTTTGACCAGTCACTTGGTATCATTGAAACAATTTAAAAAAGCCTTACAGTTTTATCATCCAGTCAATTAAAATTGATCAAGGACGACCTTGCTGGGCACGATAACGCGTTCTTTTATCGCCTATGCTATCAATGCGGTATACTCGTAGAGATAGAGGTAGGTAGTAGGGCAATGGAGGTAGGTGTATATAATTAAATGTTAGGTAGTCACTATTTCTCCCTGCAATTCATAATTGGACGTAATGAAACATAAAGGATCCAAAGCACATCCAGTCACTTTCGAGATATGGCAGTTTGAAGTTGAAAAATGTTTCTTACTCTTGTTTTATTTTCAAAACTTATAATGTCTTGTAACTCCAGAGATATTTATTTATTTTTATAAGTTGGATTTTTTGCTGATCAAGAGGTTAGACTTTAGGAACCGTTTGGTACTTATAAATCATTATTTGATAATGTAGTGGAATTTTTTTTTTACTTAACTTTTTGCTTAACTACGCCCAGTATTGGACAAGATTAGTTAATTTACCATAAACCAAATTAAAAAGTCCATATTGAATAGACTTTTTATGGCGACGGATTTTATCCATACGTGCTCAGTTAGAAAAAGTGACAGAACGCTATATTACTTTCATAGTTGTATATTAATAATGAACCCATTTTGTTCATATTTGGACATAATAACTATAATATTTACGATATAAAGACAACTTAGGGATTCTGTTCTGTTTTTATTGGAATAATTACTAACATTTGTTTATTTGCTTTAACCAGTCATCGCCTCATTTTATTATCCACTATTAATGGATTCCTTGTACAACATAGGTACAAAAACAAAGTCTTGCGCAACTTTGCGGTGTGTTCTGGACGCTAGGTAGGTACTAACGCTCTAACGCTGCCTAGATGTTTTTATTTATAGTATTTTTATCAACCAAGATATACTTATCATATTAATATATCTACTACCCGTTGATAGCGTTAATGAAATTAATTTAACAAAGTATTTGATTAGCAATGTGTAAATTTTTGTAACCTGTTGGTCATGAAAATGTATTAAAAATCAAAAGTTTTTGGAATGATCAAAAGATTTAAAATGTTTATCATTATAAGTTATTTAGATAAAACACGCGCCCCGTTCGAACACACTGACAACGTATCTCCGCGCGGGACCGCGGGTTTCACCGCGCCCTCGCGCGGAGTGGCGCGGCGAACCGCAGGGTATGGCATACTGCGCTCCGCACTACCGCGCAGATTTTTAAGCTTAAGGACATGTTCAGTTTTCTACAATAGAACTCGACGTCCATAAATTTATATCTGCTATTGAAAATCGACCAAATGCATCTTTTTATTTTCTTAAATCTTTGTATTGAAGCTAAAATTATCCATTTATCGATCTGGTTCGTTAAAAGGGATGTATCCAATATCTTCGGTGTCTTTTTATTTGAGTAAACATTTTTGTTTATAGTAGACAGTATAAAGACCAAATAGACAATATAACTGCAGCGTCCTGAATGAGTTCTGTATTATTAACCATTCTTGTCGAAGAAGGATCTCGGCTACATTTACAATCACTACGGCGATCAACTGCGAAGCGAGTACTTTAAGTGACGCGGGGCCTCTAGACCGCTGCCCCCGCGCAGATTAAGCCGCGCGTTGACGCAGATCTGCGTCTCCGCCACCGCGCGCGTGATTCCGCGTCTCGCGCTACGTCGCGGGGATCGGTGCAGTGTGATAATCGCCTTAGTCGATAATTAAAGATCTATGAGATAAGAAAAACTATCAGCATGGGTAATTACCGTATATACATATATGAGTAATTATCAGATCACGATAATTAATCAAAGAAAATATACAGCTTGTTAGATTCGAATCCTAATAATATAATGCAGAGCAAGCGGACACAAAAATATTTAAAAATTGTGTTTACGTGGTGCGGTCTTATAAATAAACGTAATCAAAAAGTCGAATATGGCAAAGCGGCCAGGTTGTATATTGTTAATTTACATAACTTACCTTGCGAATGTTTATTACTTCATCTGTAGGTGGCTAACTCTCGCTCGGGGCTGAACTTGGTAGGCAGAAATGTACTCCGTTACCACTACGATAATGTATAAAAATGTACTTCGTTTAAGTATGTTCATACCTACACTCAGCTGATGATTAAGCTATACTAACCATTCTCTCTTCTCTTTGAACTGTAAAAAGGAGGAAACGCATTATATTTCGCACATGAAAACAAATGTTCTCGTAACTTCTCAAAATTTGGTGTCATTGAGAAAACACGATTTGAAAGTTAAAAAAAAAATATTGAACGGATCTTGTTGCGCATAACATTATTATTTTTAGTTAGGTACACATAATACTTAGAAGCACCTGAACCAATTTCAATGTTAGCTGCCATTTGACATTTAAGTAGGTATATTATGGTGCATAATTGCAGATGTTACCCGCTGTAACATAAACAATACCACCGTAGATATTAAGACTTGTGTGACCGGGACTGTACTCAGCAAAGGATGCCTACATTGTTAAATAATAACAATAACCATTTAATTTTGTTTCTATAATCACAATGGCATGAAACTACCTACTAGTAAACAATAGGAACATACCTACTTATAGAGAGCAGAACCTGTATTGGGATACCCCGTGTTACAGTATTCCGACCCCCGCACTCGGACTTAATATATAAATAGGTAAATTGTTAGATACTATCAACAACTCGTAGTTTTCACTTGACAAATAAGTTTACGTAATATGTACTGAATGTCCGAGTTTGTTTTCAGTTACAATAAAATTACCTTTTTAGTACAAACCCTATAAGTATGCTCATTGGTAGATCCACTTTCTTGGCTACAAACAAACATACCAGCCTACCTACATACCAAAGTAATTGTTTGCAAAGATACTAAAATCATTCAAAGTTTAGAAAAACCTAATCCCAAGACCAAGAAACCAATATATCTTCCTAATCATTTTCCCAGAAGCGTGGCAGTCTATGGCGACGCAGTGGTGAGCAGGTAGATATAGGTACTTAGACGATCTCGTCGGCAGAGAAGCGGATGGAGCGGTGCGGTCGGTGGCCGCAAGGACGTTGGTGCGCGGGCGACGACGATACGGCGCGGGCGGCGACACGGGGGGTTTCTCCACCAATCACAGCTCGCTTGTCTATATGTGCGTGCTTCCGTGTACTCACGCGTTTCTGCGGAGACTGACATTGGACCTTACAGAGCTGCTGCTTTTTAATATTTGCCGTAAAGTCAGGAAATTTTCTCGGGCATTTTATTGGCAAAAATCAAACTTATACAACAGCCAGCGTTACTGGTAGGGATAATGATTTCGTAAGTAAAACAATAATTCAAAGGAATGAATGAATCTAGTTTCTGTTGTTATCAAAAGATAGAGAGAAATTGATAGATGCACACCGAATTTCCTTATATATTGTTCTCTAAAAGAATGTTACACAACGTTTAATTTAAATCAATAGGGATATCTTGTGACATGATAACTTTTTAAATAGGTATTATATATTTTCAAACATCATTGCCGAGAGTGAAAAAGATAATGTTCCAAGTTACAGTCACTTAACCAAATAAAATTAATTTTCCTACGCCGTTCATATTCATACTAATTTAATAAATAGCATTTGTAAAATTCTAAGATAACTTAATTTCGAAGTCGGCGAAACGGATAAACTTTCTCGGGTAAATAATGTGTTAGGTCTGGCAATACATGTCGGTCGAGAGATACCGACGCAGCAGTGCAGTTAGCTCGTCCACTGGCTCTGTTTACGCACACTGTTGTGGTGCTTTTTGTGTTTTTTTTTTGTTTATTCCCCGTAGCTGCCTGCTATTTGAACGCTTCCTTTACTCGCGTCTACCTATAACTGTTTACGAAGATTTCACCTTGTTTCCTAATCGTAAATGTTGTATTATCTAATATTGCAAAATTAGGCAGAAAGCTTGAAGTGAAATTTCTAAGTCAGATGTTAGAGCAAACGACATTAACCTCGTTGTGTGTCAACAAATAAATATAAACAGTGATCGGGACAAGTTAGACTGGTGTTCGTAACAAGAAGTGATGAATTAAACAATGTTTTAAACTGGATCCTGGACAAGAATGGGCATCGTGCACTTATATCGGTGCGTGATTTTCTCCCGACTTCGCCCACATTCGTTTATGGTAAGTAAAAAGTTTCGTGTTTGTGTCGTAACGTGCCTACAACTTTTTACTAAGGTGATTGGAAGATGCATTTTCGAACTGGCTGATCTACTTATAGTTTTAGTATACATGACGACTTGGTACTTGGTTGTATTTATGTTTTGAGTTTTATGGATTCGAATTTAGAAGGCGGCAAGCTTTCGAAACCAATGTTAATGTAGTTGAAATGGGTAGCGCGAAGTCAAGCCCACACAAATTTATGAAATTGGAACCTGTTGTATATACCTGCCAACATCCTTCACAAATACCCAGCTTGTGGCATTAATTACTTGCATCCTGCCTGCTTCTCTTGTTATAAAACCTCAATATCAGCCTGGTTTTTTTTAAATAAATTATCATATTTATTTGGGCAAGCAAGGGTTCCACTGTAAAGCCTCTTCATGTATTAGTTCATCTTTCTTAGTTTTGATGGAAAAGGTGATAAGTGCCTGTTCATAAATAGTTTATTTCATATATCATGGGTTGATGCTTTATAATTATATATGATAGGGTTATTACCCTGTTTTTTTTTTATAGTAGTTACAGGCCCAAATTTTTTCATAGAAGTTTTTTTAACGTAAGGTTAGCTTTACATTGCCCCGTCCCTTATTGTACTAAAGAAATAGAGTATGGGCAAATGTATCTACACTTAATGTTTCTTATAATGTAAATTTATAATTTGTTTTACTACACAAGTCAACATTTACTGTGTTCAAAAAACTGCCCAGAGCTTTGTTCTCAACCAATTTCACTGTGGCATCAAAGGCATTAACAGATGAAAGCTTTCATTTTGTGATAATTAATACACAGTCTTCATACGTATGCTAAGAGATTATGTATAGACAATATTTAAACATTTTGAATATGGGTAGAAAATAGAGCTTTTCATTCATAGATAAAATACACATTTTCATTTGGGTCAATTGGTATTGTTATCATTTCGAATAGATGATTTGTTGTCACAATTTCACTGCCCAAGTAAGATCTATTTGGTTCCATGTACTGGCATAAGCTTATAAATCTTGACGCTTTGGAACGTTCTTATCGCTGGCAAACAAGAATTGAAATTGCTTAAGTTTGAAACTGGACATGTCATTGATTCCATATTGAACATGCTGTTCTAAGGATAAGTATTCGCTAATAAATTTAGGATTTTATTTACAGATGGTAATTTTTGATAATACATACAGCAAACTAGGTAGGTACACAGTCCAATAAGAACAAATAAGGCAACTCCCGCTTCTTTGGCACGTAAATGCCTACACTTCACTCGGAGTGCAAAGTTGTTACATTATTATTTACTTTCTTTCATCTTCATTATTATGTAGTCTACATATTGTTTATATGAAAGAAATTAAGGAGTATAAGACAGTATTTTCATGCTGTATTGAAATAATTTTGCTAAATGCATACTTACATGTTGATATTTTTATACAGCACCGTGCACTGGTATCTTGGTTATGGAGTATGATTATGAAATAGAAATTAAATGCTGAGCAATTCTGAATTTCAGGTACTCTTTTTCAAACTGCCATAAATGCAATAATAAATACATCTACTATTTGATGTCATTTTTTAAACACAGAATGACTGCTTTAATTCTATAAAAAGATACGCGTGTGATGACCCACGCTTTGCAACGCGATTGCATCGCAAAATTATGAGTGTGTATGTGTGCGTCTTTACACGATGCGTGCGTCTGTACACGATGCACACATTATATGCCGCGCTGCTATATTTGTATGGCGTATACCGTTATATTATACTATGCTAAGTACATACATTTGTTGCGTTTTCTACATCTCAATGAAAACTGAAAATGTTCCTGTTAATATTGCATCTTTATCAAATAACAATGGTGGATTGTTTGAGAACTTTCTACTAATATCATGGAGCATGGCACAAAAATTACAGCATCAATGCAAGTGCTAAATAAATAATGTCACAGCACAATGGGCAACATTGTGTGATTCAAATCAGGCCACTAATGAGTGCTCTGATTGTTACCAATCAACTTTAGTGTGGAACAGAGTTTTGGATGTTGTCTTCTGATTATATAAAACTGCATGCAAATCACATATACTATGATTTTAAAAATATTGTTAACAGTTTGTTATCATGTGGCTATGCAATAAATTATTTGAATTGAATTGAAAAAACTATGATATCTAGGTATCTAGTACAATCTTTTTTTTGTCATGTCTCGGTACATACAAAGCCTCAAATAGTAATTTCCTTTTACGAACAACACACTTTGTATTCTTTCATTTAGTTCAAAGAATAACTTTCTCTAAGTCCAAACTGGCTTGTTAAAATAATGATAGAAAAACTTGAAGTTAGTGTATGCAATTAGTTTGGTGATATAATTTTGTTTGACTTTAGTACCATTCTTTAAGATATTTATAATTTATAGTCGATTTATTTACTTTTTTATGTATATTTTTATTACCTATTATTTATTGCAATATGCGTACATTACATGGAATGTATATAAGTATATTTATGTATATAAGTGTGACGATCTGACCTCCTTCATCGTTATCCCACCTTTTTATCATACTTTTTTCTGATTCCTGGCCACTTATTTTAAAATTTTGAATTGTCGAATTCCCTTTTCTTTCACTATTTTTTGCGTTTGTTCCATCCGTGTCGTCCATGCCCACATGGTGCCCACAAATTACCTACATTTTGTTATACTTCACGTCGATTACTCTTAAAATTACTTTATTATTGTATTGTGTGTATTGTTTTAGTTACTTTTAGGCTCAACTCACACTGGTGCAGAGTCGAAGCGTCGCGTCGCGTCCTGTTTTTCCACTACACCGCCTGGCGACGCGCGTCGACACTCGCATTAGTGCGCCGGGATCACAGTGTAGTCGGCAGTCGGCGTCTGACGCCTTATGGCACCCTAACAATGGGAAAATAGAGATGAATATGCTATAGGCGAAAAACATGTCGCGTCGCGACGCTTCGACTCTGCGCCTGTGTGAGTTGAGCCTTATAGGGAGTGTTTTATAATAATTGCAACTTTTTGTATCATTTTATTTGTTACAGCTTTCTGTAACTTTTTTATCATTTCTTACAATAAATCTTTAAAATTAATCAAGTACATACGCAAACAAATATTCTTGTACTTTCGAATGTGTATGAATGATACCTACTAAATTATTTTTGAAAATTCATCCATAAAATGTTTTAGATTATGTCAATGATCTTATTAGGTACATTGTTGTCAGTAGTAACTTTTATTGCCTGTAAATTTCAAGAGGTCCAGGATTCGATTCCCGGGCCGGGAGAAATATTTGTATGGCCTACATTTATTTCTCTAGAGTTTTATTTGTGTTTTTTTGTGTTTGGCCATGGCACCCGCGACACAGGGTTTCCCTATAGCGGGGCTATAAGTGCATGGTTATAAAATAAAAAAAAGTGAGGAAATCGCGAACTAACCAAGTTTTTGCATATGGTTAAAAAAAGATCTTCAGATCTGGAATGTGCCGATCTTTTTGATTAGTAAAGAAACCTGAAGTCGCATTCGTACTATTTTCGTATACATTCACCCTAACTTATTGTTTTCATAACGTTTTAACACAGAGCGTTTCTTACGGTTCAACAAAGAGTTTCTTGTATACGCTGGTTCCTTTCACTACATACACAGCAGCACTGAGAGTGGCATTGTTCCCTACTATTTACATACTATATTGACATGTTTTCAGCGATATGTATATCATGCGAACTCCGACATGCTGTTAGGCACGTAGGACTGACTGTACTCAGTTTTATCTTGAGTGCCCTCGGGTACAACATACGTATTGATTGTTAATGACGCGATATTCTCTTTAGTCACATATACTGTTTTACTTACCATCATTGGAATTCTATAATAATTATATAATATTAGACTATATGTCATAAACCGTCGCGTAAACAAGTCTGCAGTCTGCGAGCATGTCATGGATAAACCTACACATTCAATGAAGTTTGACAAAACCCAGGTCCTTGCAAAAGAAGTACGTTATCAACCCAGGATGCTGCGAGACGCCATTGAAATTAAAAAAAACATCCTAATTTCAACAGAGAGGATGGTTTCTCCGTACCACCAGTTTGGGATCCAGTATTTCCTCTAATGAAAAATCCCAAACAGACATAAGACTGCAGTACTAATTAATATGTTTTAAATTATTCTAATTTCTATTATAAATTAATAATAAATTTAACTTAATAAAGATTCATTCAATAAAATTATTTGTAAAACGTAATATAGCATAAATTGGAATGTTTCTTTGTAAAATTAAAAATAAGGTATATAATATATATATCTAATATAATTAATGTTAGACATAACTGGTTGTTGACTGTTCCACCACAGTCAACCGTGACCATGGGACCTGTAAAGGACCCGAAACGTTAGTTTACGTTTTAAATATACGCGATATAAATCCGGAAAAATAGTTTCATTTCCTATGTGTAGCAATCGTGAAAACCTAAAAACTCGATATATAAGACTAGGTTGGTAAAGTACTTTCGTAGGCTCGCATATGATATACATATATTATAATTTACAAATAATTACATATAATATTGGGCAGTTAACAAAATAAATAAATATTATAGTTATTGATATAATTATCTTGATAAATATACCTAAATAATTATCTTTATATTTATAATTAATTGGTACTTACATTAAAATGTTGCCTCTAACAATGTCAGAGATGGACAAGCGCCCGAGTTTTTACTCGGCACTTTGTTAATGCCGGGATTAAATCAGGTTAATACCCATTAATGCCCAATATCGAGGGTAAAAACTATTTACTAGTAGACATTTGTTGTAAATCAGTTTCGTTCAAATTTCATGATATTCCAAAATGTTTATTGCTTTCTGATCTAGACGATCCGATTTGCCTTCCTTGGTCCGCTTGAAAATCGCTTTGAAATAAATCGTTAGACCGTATGCCCCTGAATCGATTTTCGTAATAATAGAA